AAATTAAAGCTATCCAAATCAATAATAAAATATCACTCTACGAAGAAAAAACCATATATAGAGAAAAAAACCCACCCAGTTTAATAGAAAATTTGCGGAGATGAGCAAAAATAATAATAACACAAAAGAAAAAAAAGATGTATCCATTCAGACTAATATTTTATATTATTTTCCAGAAACTTCAATAAATTCACAGACAAATAAATCCAGCTTGGCTATAGAAATACATAATAAAATTAATGAGACTAAAGCTCATTTTATCTAGGCCCAGGCCACACCAGCTATCTCTGATCAAGAGACTGTAGGATCACAGCAAAACAAATTAAGTAGTCCCGTCATCCTTAGGCTGCCTCCCTTCTGACCTCCTCTTCCGCCCTTTCCCCTACTCTTCCCACCACCTCTTTCCTCCTTTCTAGTCCTGTATCCCTCACTTCTGATTCCGCTCCACCTACAGACGACTAATCCATCAAAAATGGTACAGATGATGAAGCATATACTTTACAAAAGAAAAAACGAAGGCCTCGAAAAAAATCCTCAAATAAAACAAATAATAGATAAACCATCTGAAAACTGAACTATCACTTTCATTCAATTATTATTAGTATTAATTTCAATTTCATATATGTCAAAAATGTTCTAATATAGAGGCTGAAAACCTTATCCAAATCCATTATCAGTTGATAAAGCCGGTTTTGTACACTGGAGATTTCAATGCCCATAATCCATTATGCGGCTCACAAGACATGAACTCCAGAGATCGAATCATAGATTTTTTTTTTTAATTCAACCAGTAATTTGTTACTGAATTCCGGCGAAGCAACATATCTAAGTTCAAGCTTTGGTATATTGTCATCCCTAGATCTCTCTATTAGCAACAACTCAATGGCAGATATTATAGATTGGACAGTTCTACCAGAACCTTATAGCAGTGATCATTTCCCCATCCATCTTAAATTCAGAAATACAAATTGCAATAATTACAGCATTCCTCATTGGATATTAGAAAAAGTAGATTGGTCCCTTTTCACTTCTCTAGCTGGCCTGCCTCAAAATCCCTCAAATAGTATGACTATAGATGATGCTTGTAAATCTATAACTGAAAGCTATACTAATAGCAGCAGAGGTCTCAATTCCAAAAACCATGGGGTATTTCAAAAGTCCACCTATTTCCTCTACTTACAGAACCCCCGTATTCAGGATGTCCTATAAGTAGAGGGAAATTTAGAAGTATATTTATAGAAGTAATTAAAAATGGCTTTACTGTAATTAATGTGGACTTAAAAGCTTATTAAACTAGGATGTTTTTTCTGAAAGTGGGGTATCGATATTATAGTTAGATGACGATAACAAAAATTCTCAAATAATTTTTGATTTATTTATAAACCGAATTTAGCTTTGTTTATCTGCTCAAAAGTCCTCTTTAAATGGTTTAAACCATAAAAAAATCTGTTTTCATTTGAAGTAAATTTTCTCTAGTTTACAGCGAAGCAATTTTTAATTACTTAAATTAAATTAAATATTTCTTTGGTTATCGCTTCCCATTCAAAAAAAACATAACATGCTTAAAAAAAACACAAAACTTGGTTTATCTACTCTTCTGTTGAAAATTAGCCCATTGTTTACATGAACTTTTTTGTAGCTCTTGAAGTCTGCTATCACTCTTATAAAAATTTATAGTGGAAGGTAAATTTTTAGAAAAACATCATTTAATAAGTTAAGTCCATATTAATTAAGTTGAGCTTTACGAGGAAAAACTTGAGATTCACCTCAAGTCGTATAAAAAAATTATGTGATTTTTTTTTCCGGTCACCTTCAAGTACCCATGATTTCAGCAAAAATGACTAAAATTGATTGTATCTAAGCTTTTATTTCTTGTTTTTCTATGATCTGGGATGTAATATAATAAACCTAATTACCTAAATACACGATTTATTTATTTAAAAATAAAAATATTTCGATTATTAATCATTTAAAGTGATAAGAAAAAAGTATTTTTTTACTGAGATCTACATTACAGAAATTGATCCGTATTTTTATGTGACAAACTAGATGTTCCTTTACAATTTAAACATTAAACATTTACAATTGTATGAAAATAATCAATGCAATCAGCAGGTTTCTTTGTTTTAAATGTAAATTTTAGGACAAGAAACATTTATTTTGTCACTTATAAATACGGATTAATTCGTTTATCAGAGATCTTAGTAAAAAACACATTTCCATTACAACTTTAGATCTATATTTATAAGTTTGTAACTTATAAATATGGATCAAGTCCTATGACAGAGATCTGGAAGAAAAACACAGTTTCATAACAATTTGTCATGAATAATATTTGAAAAATAATTATTTTTAGCATTTTTTAATATTAATAAAAAGTGCAGTTAGGTAATTATGTTTATTATGATACATTTGAGGTCATGGAAAAACAAGAAATAAAAGCTGGGCAACAGTTAATTGTGATCATTTTTGCTGAAAACAAATACTTTTAGATGTAAAGAAAAAAATCACATAATCTTTTTACACAACTTGAGGTGTATCTCAAGTTTTTACCTCATAAAACCCAACTTAATTAACTTAAAGCTTATTAAACAAAGAAGTATTTGTAAAAGTGGAGTATCTGTGTTATAGTTGAATGATGATTAAAAAAGAAAAAAAAAAAAAAAAAAAATCAAAATTTTTAAATTAATGAATAAAAACTCCCAGATTTCCTTCTCACAAACCATAATCTAATCACTCGATGACCTTTCTTCAGACCATAGTCCAGTACTGCTTTCACTACATTCAAACTATGCTCCTAAACTATGATCTTCTAAATTGATTACAGGACGAGTAAACTGGGACAAATTCCGTGATCATTTAGAAAACTAACTAGACTTAAAAATTCTGCTAAAGACAAAAGAAGACATTAATGGTACCATAGAAAACTTACATCAATAACAGACAGTAGTAGTAATAAATAGTAACACCTTTAACAGTAAGATTAACAATTTACAAAAGACTAACTTGCCACAGCATATTTGTATCTTATTAAAGGAAAAACGCAAAGCAAGATTGAAGTGTCATAGAACTAGATAACCGACAGATATAACTCATTACACCCAACTGACTAACAAAATAAAATCATGAATTAGAAAACAAAAAATTGACTAAATTTTACAGAAAAACTTACACCTACCAACAAATCACTATGGACGACTAAAAGGTTCCTGAAATTTAAAGATTTTAATCATCCACTTCTTACCGAAGCTCAAACTTAGTCCAAATCCAACAAAGAAAAATCCCAAATTTTTGCTCACCACCTCTTCAAAACCTTTAATCCACATCCTGATATCCTTAATCCAAATCTGCTTGAATGTATTGTAGCAGAAAAGGATATTCGACTCCAAATGACTCCTCTCCCTAAAGCATTTCATCCTTCAGAAATATCGAATATTATTCACAGATTACCCACCCGCAAAGTCCCTGGGCACGACCTAATCACATCCCATATCCTTCAACTACTTCCTCGAAAAGCCATTCTATTCCTTACTTACATAAATAACGCCGTTCCACATATTTTCCTGACCCTTGGAAACGATCTATTGTTAAAATGATCCACAAACCAAAAAAAACACCAGAATACCCATTCTCTTACCGTCCTATCTCTCTTTTACCCATCATGGGCTAAATCCTAGAAAAGCACATCTTAAAACGCCTGTATCCCATCCTAATTTCTAACCACATAATCCCTGATCACCAATTTGGTTTCGTCACATACCATTCCACTATCCAGCAATGCTATCGTGTGGTAGACGTTGTCTCATCTGCATTGCGGGATTGTTTTACAAACTCCGTAAATTTCTCCCCCCCCCCTACATACTTTCTAATCATCAGTTCCTACCTTACTGATGGGCACTTCAAAGTAAATCACAATAATACCTATTCATCCTTCTTTTCTCAATCTGCCGGTGCTCCTCAAGGTAATATCCTAGGTCCTATTCTTTACACAGTTCATACAGCTGATATCTCAACCCTTCCTAACACTGTCATCACCACATATGCTGATAACACGTATCCTATCAGTTAATAATGATCCATCAATTGCATCCTAAACTCTTCAATCACACATCACAAACCATGAAGAATGGTGTCAAAACTGGAGGATTAAAATAAATTCCAATTAATCCAATCAAATCACCTTTACCTTTGGTCCTAAAACTATGACTTCTGGTCCTACAGTATCCTTTAATAACACCCCACTTAGTCCTGTAGAACAAGTCCTATACCTAGTACACCACCTGGACAAACGTCTCACATGGAATCCTCATACAAGATTGAAACAACAAGAAACTGGTCGACGTTTCCACTTACTCCAACACTTAATGGACAGACGCTCTAAACCTCCAATTAATTACAAAAGACTCATATACATGACTATAATAAGTCCTATTTGGACATAACACCCCTCTTATCCCTGTAGAACAAGTCCTATAACTAAGACACCACCTGGACAAACGCCCATGTTCCATATGTTTCCGATTTGGCCCAATTCAGATACCTATCCTTCCATAAAAAATTTTATAACCATCCGAATCCTCTTGTTTCTAACCTTGCTTCCTCTTTGATTCCTGATAACCCTCCAAGGTGTTTGAAAAGAAGATGACCTCATGATCTCCATATGTAGACATATTATTAGAGTGCTACCCATGGGTAGTTTCTCAATAAGCATTTTCATGTTATTATATTCCTCTGTACACATTTACTTGATGTATTTATACTAATACAGTTGTAAATATAAATAAAAAGAAATAAATGAAATAGTTAAAAATTTATCTTCTGCTATCACTCCAGTAAACATTTCCCTCTACTTACGGGACACCCTGTATATATATCCAGTAAATTCTGTTTAATATTTGGTCCACCTTTAGTACAAACACTTACTAATATGATTAATTTTATTAATTTTAAGAAAGGGGATTACTTAACACTATCATGATAACCAAGGTTGAAAATTTGATACTTATAAAACAGTTCAAATTATATTTAAACTTAAATTGACAACATAGTAAGCAATATCTTAAAATGTTACTTATCCTACTTTTAGAGTAGAAAATATGTGAATTAACAATTAATATAGGACATTTCTACACCATGGGATGGTAAAAGTTGTGCATATTGTTTTTCTTTTTGTATAAACCAATTAATCACATAAGTGCTAATACATAAAAAATGTGTTTTCATGGAACAAAATAAATTAAGATAGGATGAAGAAAAGACTAGAAGAAACTTAGTAATAAACAAGTAAGATAAATAACATTTAGAAAGATAGAAAAAATAAAATAAAAAAAGCCTTGTCATAAATTCTATTGGAATAAAGGGCTCATTGGTATAGTGTGCAATGCCAGTAATGCATTAAGGCGCCAGGACTGAAGGTGCAAAGGATTTAAGATGATTTAGGACTTTCTAATGATCAAATAAAAAACATTTCCCATAAATAAATTAATTTGTTAGAAAACAAATTTCATTTACATTATATGAACAATTTTAATTATTTAAAAAAAAAATTTTGGAGATGGAGATATATATAATTTAACTAAACATAAGCACACAGGCATAGGACACTATTGATCATAACCCTGTTTGGAATGTTAATTTTCACAAAATAATTCTTAACTCTAATACAATTATAATATTTCTTATCCATTATAAAACATATTAATTAATAGGATAGTAACATAATGTTTATGATCATATCCCAATGGGTCAAAATTATAACAGACAAACCTGGCCTTACCTAATAATAATAATAATGTTTTGTTACGAATATAGAACAGTCTTAAGATTTGTGTTAAAAGAATATTTTACCATCTGCATACACTGTTCAACAGTAAACTAGAAATATAAATAGAAACATGTTCTTAGTTTGCAATATGTAAAATAACAGCCATTTCATTGAAACTTTTAGAAATTAGGAAAACATCATATAACATGAGCAATGAGAAGCTTTCACAAAGAACAAACTACGTACTAATATACAGAGTAAAATAGAATTGTTATGGGATCAAAAAAAAATTTGACCCTGCTGTTTATGGAGCTATTAAATGTATCACTGAACAGAAATTATTGACTTTTTATCAAAAATAAAAATATTCACAGCATCATAGGTACAAGTGACAGCAATAATTAATTCAAACTCACAAGAATTAATTTTAGCTCAGAATTATTGAATATTCTATTAACATACAGTTTTTATTAACAAATAAACTATTCGTGAATTTAAAAATTACTTACTTACTCTATATAAACAGAAAACCACATACAAACCCTCATCCAAAAGTAAACTAATACATCACAAAATACATTATGACTATTTATTTTCTTTCCTCGTGTCTTAAATTAAATCATCGGCATTACAGCTCATCATGGAGTTCACCACTGCTACCAGGTATTCGACAGGCAGCTGGAGTTTGGAATTCCAACACATACTCACACTTGTTAGGTTCATGTGCACTCAAAACTTCATTTTCTAAGCCACATGTAATATTAACCTGTAATAAAAAATGATAAAATATTATTTGTAGACAAATACCCTAACTTTTCATGTTATAATAATTATAATAAACAATAACTCTGATATTAAAATTAATACTAATACTACATATAAAACTTAATACTTAAAAGTAAAAATAATGTTTTATTGAATTTTATCTAAACGGGCCACTCATGCTCAGTTTTTCCTATTATCTGAGAGATGACATTTCTGAACTATAAAAGAAGCACTATCACAGGTTTTTCATACAATCCAATAATTTGGCATGAATGGGCCTAAACACACTCAATTAAATATTAGTCCAGTCAATGAATGATTATAGAAGGAAACGACACAATTTTTGACTTTGGGACATTGTTTGGATTAGTGAGGAAGTAAACATACTAAAAGTCCCCATTCCTAGGTGGTGAGCCAGATGTGGAGGGGGGAGGGTGCGTCGAAGTCACTATATTCGGGTTTTTGTTTATATCAGAAAAACAATCCATCTCATCGACAAAGACATTCTATACAAAATTAAACCTCATCAAATTTGCAATATGATTGATTATATATCTTTTTTCACTATCTCGCATAGTTTCCAAGATATCTGTCCTCAACTATCGCTAATGTGGAGAACAAAAATTTACCACATGTTTTTTACTGTATTTTTTTACTAGCTAACTCTTGATTGCTTCTTTCTAGAAAGTTTGCTAGAGGAAGAAAGTTTTTAACAATTTAATTTTCTTGAATAATATATATTATTTTACTAGTTTCCAAAGGTTCAAAAGTCAGATCAATTAATAGGGTGTATAAAAAAAATGACTTAATTAATGTCGTAATTTTGAGGCATTAGTGAAAAAAAATTTTCACAGCCGCTGAAGCAGCTTGTACCTCGCTTAGTTTCCGAGTTATCCATTCTCAACTATAGCTAATTATGAAAAAAAATTTTTCTTCCTATTTATTGCTGTTTTTCGAGTTTTTGCTTATATTAGGAAAACTATCCATCACACTGACAAAGACATCCTATACAAAAGTAAAGCTGATAAAATCTGCAATATGATTTTTAAATACCTTTTTTCACTATCTCGCATAGTTTCCAAGATATCTGTCCTCAACTATCGCTAATGTGGAGAACAAAAATTTACCTCATGTTTTTTACTGTATTTGACTAGCTAACTCTTGATTGCTTCTTTCTAGAAAGTTTGCTAGAGGAAGAAAGTTTTTAAAAATTTAATTTTCTTCAAGAACATATATTATTTTACTAGTTTCCAATGGTTCAAAAGTCAGATCAATTAATAGGGTGTATAAAAAAAATGACTTAATTAATGTTGTAATTTTAAGACATTAGTGAAAAAAAAAATTTCACAGCCGCTGAAGCAGCTAGTAAAATTATTGAAATATGAAGATTTCCTTGATCAGCGCACTGCGCTGTGTTGGTTTGAAAAATTTAGCAGTGGAGATACGACGTTAGAAAGGAAAAAAGGCTCCGGAACACCATTAATGGATATTGATGAGGTTCTCCAGGAAGATGTTGAGTCAAATCCATCAACGAGTACTCGCGAACTTGCCAGAGAGTGTGTTGTGTCAAAAGATTCTGTTAGTCGCCATCTACTCTCCATGGGGAAGGTGAAAAAGAGCAGTAGACTGGTCCCTCACGAATTTACTCCTCAGCAATCAGCTAAGAGATTAGAAATTTATTGAAAAACCCTTCTGATATGAAACTTCTGCCACATCCACCATATAGTCCAGACTTCACACCATTGGATTACTACTTATTTAGATCCATGAACCATTTTCTTCAAGGGAAAAAATTTGATAATTTTGTGGAAGTTGAAATTGAGGTCCAGAGTTCTTTGACAGCCATCCCAAAGAATGGTATCAGTGTGGGATCGAGCAATTGGCTGACAGTAAATAACACTGAACTATAATTTGAGTATTAATAGTATTTTATAACAAAGAAATAATAATAAAAATATTTGGCTGAAAAACTGTCATTTTTTTTTAAACACCCAATTATATCAGTCAATTCCGAGAATTCGTTATTATCGTATTGCTCTAACTCTTTATACATCTAAATCTCTCTCTATATATATACATACATACAATAATGTTTATTATAAAAATTATTTTTTTCTGCAAATTCTCGGAATCGACATATAAAGTTATAACTGATCTAACTTTTGAACCATTGAAGATAAACTAGTAAAACAATATATTCTTGAAGAAAATTTAATTGTTAATAACTTTCTTCCGCATGACTTAATCGTAAAACGAAACAATCAAGAGTTAGCTAGCCAAATACAGTAAAAAACTTGAGGTAGATTTTTTTCACCACATTAACGATAGTTGAGGATGGATAACTTTGAAACTAAGCGAGAGAGTGAAAAAAGGTATATAACAATCATATTGCAAATTTTATCAGCTTAGATTTTGTATAGAATGTCTTTATCGACGAACTGGATAGTTTTCCTGAGATAAGCGAAAACCCGAAAAAAGAGACCTAATAGGCACCCTCTCCCCACATCTGGATCACCACCTAAGAGTGGGGACTTTTAGTATGTTTACCTCCTTACTAGTCCAAACAATGCCCCAAAGTAAAAAAATTATGTCACCACTATTTCCTTCAATACCCCCTTTACCAAGCATTCATTGAATAGACTATATGTTCTATTACCCATTTAATATCATAACTAAAATTACTCTGCAGGTATTTCTTCTGTTCCTCTTTTTTTTTCTTTTTTTTTTTTTGCTTGCTTGTCATTAAAACATTTTGTTGCTTATGTCTATACACAAAGAGGCATTGTTATGTTTCATTGATTAAATATATACATATATAAATTCGATATCTTCGATAGGTATGTATATATACAGGATGTCCCGGAAGTATATGGAAATATATAAAGAGGTGACAATACACCTCTTCTTCTTTTGCATCACCCTGTTGTGCCTATCAGTGTAGGGGAGGATTGGATTGGATACAAGGAATCAGTCTATATGTCCATCTTCCGTTCAATGCTATATCCCAGCGTCGTTGCCATTTCTCAACCGTCTCTTTTCTTTCTTTGACCCTGGGAATAGATTGAACTCTCTTGTAAGAGCGCAATCAGTTCCTCCTTTCTCCTGCAATCACTTCTATTGGTGAAATCCTGGCCACCACACATGCTGCTTCATATGAAACTGTGCGGAATGCATAGATTGCCCTTAGGGCATTTCGACAGTAGATGGATCCATCGGTTTTCTATAAGCCGTAGTATTGAGGGATCCTATCCATATAGCAGCTGGGTAGAGTGGTATTGATGTAACCACGCTTGATAGCAACAGCCTGCGGCTGTGCCTGGGTCCTCCAAAATTTTCCATCAGTCGGGAGAAAGCTGTGGTCACTCTAGACGCCTTTTCGCTCACTCGCTGGATATTCTCCTTCAACCTGAGCCTTTCATCAATTCTCACCCCGAGATATATCAAGGATGGCTTGGACTTCATGATAACGGAACACAGCTATTCAATTTAATTTAAATTAAATGATGAAGCAAGCAGCACTGCTGCCATCTCTAGGCAGGCGAGATAAGCAACAAAGACAGAGTCCAAACATGCAGAGTACTTGCTAGAATCATGTCCACTTAAGACTGGAACATAGCTGGGCAGTTAGAAAATCACTTATGAAATGAAAATATGTTTATTATCCTGGGACTGTTGTCCCTTTAGAACAAAGTATAAATACTAAGAAAATGCCTGTATAGCCATATATTAAATTAAATATTATCAAAATAATATCTAATTAAAAATAAAAATATAGGAAGAAAAAAGAACAAAACAAAAGCATACATATATATAAAACAATTAAATAAGTATCTTTAAAAATACCTTAGCTGAACGTTGAGGACCATTCCAACAACTCTGTCCTTTGTCGTATAACATCACAGTATAATCTTGATCTAACCATCCAGCCCACGTTCCTAACCTAGTTTCAGAGCTTCCAGATTTAGCAGCCTGTGTAACCTGATAAAAATTAAACATTGATGTGAATACATTTTTGAAAACTACTAAATCATTGCCATAATATTAATTTTTTTTTAAGTGATCCATTATTGTATGTACTCTTTTTTTTTTCATCTATCTAGAACACCAAAAGCAGAAATATCATTACTGCTATTTATAGAGGACAGCTAATATGTAAATTAAAATCTGTTTCATAAAATTAAAATACATTCCATAAATTTAACATTTAGGAGAGTTGGTCAAGGGTAGAAAATTTTTTTTAAATTGCTTAATCCGGGGGTCTGGGGACAAGGTCTTGGTACTTGCACTTATTTGCCATGTTTTGCAGCTCAGATAAAGCTTTGGGCCGACAATCCGTTTAAAGGGTAATAAATATAAGGCTTGGACTACTTGAAGGATCAAAAGAAAGCCCAATGAATTTCAGAATTGAAAAAACTTGAAGGTCTACAGAAAAACAAAAGGGGTAGTCCCGCCCTTCAACAAAACTTCGGCCAACAACAAAACTTAGAAAAGAAGTGGTGAAAAAATGAAATGGAAATATCTTTGAACGGAAAGGAGACAGTAGGTCGGAGAGTGTCTGGAAGGAGTCGGGACACAAAGAGAAAAGTTTCTAATGATTCCATCATATCCCAACCAACAGGTAAGTCATAATATCCATTTAGATATTACCCTTGTAAGTCAGTGTTGGAGTCAATAAAATAACAGAGCAATTAGTCATATCCACATAAGCATCTCCCATGCAGGATTTTCATATATATTTTTGATGTTTTAAATTACAAATAGACTTGTAGTTGATTATTTGCATTTTTTCCTATAGACCATCATTTACAAAGAGAGGTTATGGACATGGGGTGAGTCATCAATTTCACTGAAACTTTTTTTGGAGATACTAGATCGAAAATTATTATACTCATGTCCGAGTGTTCTTGCCTATGTACCCTAGGAGCCCTATGGAGCATTAAGTCTCTAATAATTTCCATGTAATTTGGTGGAGTGGTTCAGAAGTTATCACAATTTTTGTGGTTGAAGACAAAATTTTTAGAAACCAGCTAGATAAAAATTTCATACAAAATCAATAGACTTCTTTATATACTGCACAAAATAAACCTGATCTCCATAAATTAATTAAAACCAAAGATAAAAAATAAAAATATTTGAGAAGTTTTTCTAAATTTCTAGCTTTAAAAAGAATGGAATCCAAAATGTATTGATGTGATTTGGAAAAGCAGTAATTCAGCTTTCCAACGGTTGTTGGACACTGGATTTGGAAAAAATCTTATGAAGTTATGAATGCTTTAGTGAGCAACCAGGAAAAACAATCCTCCTGGAGAATCAAGTACTAAAATTTGCAATTTTTTATATCAATAAAAATTTGCATTTATGAGATATAAAGAACACTTAAAACGTTTTAATTTTTTCATAATTCGTAATTTTTCATAATAAAATTTTATATGGACGACTTTACTAGAAGCTCCTTTTGGTTTTTGTTATTTTAGATACTTTACACCTCATTTAATACCATAATCAATATTCTTTTCTTATTCTGCACAAAAATAGAAATACATTGGTAAGTAATAACCTAAATATCCGAACAAAGCAAAAGGGAAAAATAATAAAATAAATTTTGTTTGAAATTAATTAAAATATGTTTTTCTTGATCCCTGGAGTACATTAGCAAGAACCCTTGGACATGGGTCTGATATTTTTGACCTAGTATCACCAAAAAAAGTCATTGACATTGGTGATACAGTAAATAGTAACACCAAACAGTAAATAGTAAAACGATAGCCTTGGTAAGGAAATACGATATGACTTATAAACCAATCTGGTATAACACAGCACTGTGTCACCAAGTATTAAGTCAGTAATTTGCCGCATTACATTCATTAATTTACAGATGACAACAATGGATTCCTTAAATTTCCTTTTATCAATTATGCAAAAAAAGTGGCTACCCAAAAATGTTTACAAAGCCAAATGAGAAGACCTAATAACAGAGGAAATAAAATTTAATAGCATCATGTTGATCAAACAATGATAAAATGTGGTTGAGATGCTTGCAGTTTAAATCCAATTAAAAATTATGATATAATACCTGAAAGGAAAATCTAATACCGGTAATTTTCTTTTATTTGGAGTAACAACCACTATATTTTAAGCAATAATAAATTAAAGGTTATAATAGTAGTTTACTACTCTAATATTAATATTCAAAAATAAAAAAATTACTTGATCAAATGGACATATTTTATAAATATAATCACGATCAGTTAAACTGAAGCACTGGCCATCAAGAGGAGCAAATTCATCTTCTGAACCATAATCCTTGGAAAGTGATTCTTTCAGTTGTGTGATTTCTCGTTCAATATCTTGATATATCCGTAAGGCTTTATCACACTCAGAACGAGCCAAATTTGCATCTGTAAAACAACAATGATTTGAAATTGTTTATTTAAGATAAATAAAATAAAAATTAATAATAAATTTCTTATGAATCATTCATTTGTTTACAGTAATAGAATTGTAAGTGGATAGAGCAAAGGGAAAGTAAGATGAGATCAATGAGAGAGAACCTCCATGTAAAATAAATGAATCAAGGTACACTTATTTACTCATCTAAGTTGATATTTATGCTTTAACTATCCTTTACCTATTCATCTGGGGTCATTAATTTGTGCTACCAGATGATAAGAAAAGACTATCAAAACCAACTAATAACTGGATTGTAGAATAAAATCTCGCAAACTCCTAAGCTAAATGGGAAATAATGTTTTAATCAATTTACCCAGAAGGCTAAGTGTACCCCAATGTAAAAGTAGGAAGGGAGGTATTCCTACATAGCCAGACTACCAGATTCACAGGGAACAATATATTCTCACAAAAATTTAAATAAATAACAATATATTAGTTGGTATTGGCTATAAAAGATTTCTTCATTTCAATGCATTTACGTAGTTCACTTAAGATATTATAGTTGTTCTCAACAAAACAATCTGAAGTTGAATGAGAAGTTCTGTGAAGGATCTCTATATTCTCACACAAAAACAGAGCCACCAGCCTCAAATTATGGGGACATAACACAAGAGAGATTACAGATTAAGGCATAAGCTTTAATTCCCTGTAGTTGATATTGTGACATAAGAGAAGTATGACATACATTAATAATTTATTATAAAAACTCATGCCCTAGTTCTATTCATACATCAGCACGTTAAGCAAACATTTATTGTGGTCTCACCTTCAACAATTTTTGCAGTAGCTTCATCATACTGAGGTTGTGCATTCCCTGTATTACTTTTGAAGTCATCATGACTTAGCTCTTCTTCTTCTTCCTCTTCACCTACATCATGTTCATCAGAATTATCTGCATCCTGAAAAAACAAATTGTATTATTTTTATTATTATTATTATTTAAACAAAACTAAATTTGATGAGACCAAACACCAATTTACCAAAAGATAACAACTGATTCATAGTTACAAATAAAATATAAAAACTATAAATTCTTGTTAGCAATATAAAAAATAAAAAAAATCTATACCTTATAAACACTAATTTTTTTTAAAATAACTAATCTGTTTATAAATATACTGAGACAAGTCAGTAAGTGTTAAGCGCACACCAAGGACATAAACAGTCCAATCACTTCAAGTCGGTTAGACTAGACAGACTAGAAATTGCTAGGAGGCTTAATGTCCTTGGTGTGCGTACATCCCAATAGCTCATCAGTTGTAGATGCTTGATTTAGAATAGAATAAAATAAAAAAAACTTTATCCTGGGACAAAATCAATCAAACAAAGTTATACAAAGCTGGAGTCGTTACCATGTTAAGACAGTCAGATTTTGCAAGGCTGGTTTTTGGTTTCTTAATATGGTGTTTTTGACGGGATAGGATTATTAGCCCTATGCCCAGCCCCCGACCTGAAGGACCAGGAGCTATGTCTACCACAGGGTCACTCATCTCCCTACGGTGTGAGTTACCTCCAGTAGGCTGACATTAGTTGCCTCCAGTAGGCTTAATGTCCTTGGTGTGCGTACATCCCAATAGCTCATCAGTTGTAGATGCTTGATTTAGAATAGAATAAAATAAAAAAAACTTTATCCTGGGACAAAATCAATCAAACAAAGTTATACAAAGCTGGAGTCGTTACCATGTTAAGACAGTCAGATTTTGCAAGGCTGGTTTTTGGTTTCTTAATATGGTGTTTTTGATGGGATAGGATTATTAGCCCTATGCCCAGCCCCCGACCTGAAGGACCAGGAGCTATGTCCCCACCAGGAGGGTGGGGAAAGAATATCGGGCAGCGTGTCTTTCCGTGTGGACGGTCACCCAAATCGGGATGTCACTTATCCAAGTACTGACCACGCTCGACGTTGCTTAACTTTGATTACCTATTGCAAGCGCCTTAACCCATATGGCTACCCCAGCCCCCATTGTAATATTTAATATTACATTAGTTTTGATTTTTCATATAAAAAAAGTTTTAATCAAGCTATCATTAATCCTTCAATAGGTATTTTTTTAAATTGTTAAAGCCAATGGACATGTCACCGATTTTTAGCTCCCTCAAATTCAACATACTATGCCATGATCCTCTTATCTTAATTCTCCATGATCTACTGAAATATACCAAATAAGAAATAATAACAAAAGTTGAATAATAAAAATAAAATAATTTATCAGTTTATAGTTTTGACCTTTCTCCATTAATTTTATTTTTTCTCAATAGAAGTATGGGCAACAAGTGAACTATACTCTTGAAAAGCCATTGACATCAGCACTAAGTCAAATTTTACTCGAAAATACTAACGAATATTTAAAATAAATATGCGATCCTCTAGATGAATCTTAAACTAGTATTTCGTGAGGATAGATAAAAAGATTTTGCTCCCAAAATAACATTGTTTTTAAAAAATTTATGGGTGAAGCGGCCAGCATTCTCCTTCAGTTAACCAAAGAATGGTTTTCGAAAGTTTAGCTGCCGGTTAGTGAGAATTATCATGTATTCAATGCAGAAAACTGCAATTTTTAAAACAAGTTGACGCCTGACCAGACTTATTTTAAGGTTGACTATTGTTCTAATGGGTCTTCACCAAGAGACAGAATTACTTTATGTAAAAAATAAATATGTCCATAGATGTATAAATTACAGATAGTAAATAGTATTGGTATGTTTTTCTTTTTAAAAAGCACTGTTTCAACTCCTTTTTATTCACTGCCCTTGTTTAATTTCAATATAACGGCCAGGGCCATTATAGCGACTGTCGTACAGTGGTGCAAAACACCTTATTTTGGGAACAAAACTTTGCTCACCTTAGAGATACGAATTCAAAACTCATATAGGGGTCATTTTATATGTATTTTCTTATTCCGATTCGAAAGAAACAAAAAGTAAATCGATAGCTTTATGCGTTTTCGTTATTTTAAGAATATTATTTTTTAAATTTTGATTAATTCTGAATACAATTTTTTTTTTTATTCTTCAAATTTTCATCTGCACCTGTCATGATAGTGACAATTAGCAGATTTGTTGTTAGGTAGAAAATGGCATGTTAGCATGATGAAAAATAATACCCAGCAGCACCTCTTCCCTGGTCTGTTTACGTTCTGAAATCAGGAAAGGAGATCTCTCATCCAGCTCCTTTTCAGTCACCTCCTGATGAGCATGTCAGCCTTGGCCATGTCGTTGATAAGTCCATTGTGATGTCTGATTAGTTTAAGATGAAATTGAGGGTAGAGAGTACGTATGTGCTGGTCAATGGTTGGTTGTCTTAGGTCGGTATGTAAAGTTTTGTTGTTGACATACCAGAGGGCTGCAGTTATTAGTCTTAAAATTTTAGATTGAGAAGATTGAAGTTTTTGTAAGTGAGTCTTTTTTGCTGAACCATAAATCTGTGAGGCGTATGTTCAAATGGGTGGGTTTGAGCAGGAAGTGTATGTATTTAGTTTTTGTCTGATTTTCAATTTTGATTTGGAAAAAAGTGATTATAGTATTTTCAGTCGCTTGTTCAAAGTCTTTCGTTTCATTTTGACGTGTGGGCCCCAGGTCATCCTTCTGTTGAATATTAGCCCGAGTTAGTGTACAGGTACAGTGTACGTCTAAGGAATTAGATTGTTGCTGATATAAACTGATGGGCATGTGTCTCGTCAAAGCGTAAATGTTATGTGTTGTGATTTGTCATGATTTAACCTAATTTTCCAAAGTAAATAACAATTTTGTAAATTTAGTAAGTGATTTTGTAAATTTAATGAGGCTAGTCTGGGGTCATGGTATTTTGTTAAAATTGTTGTATCGTCAGTGTAAGTAGTAGTCAACGTTTCGGAGGTGGTAGGCATGTCCTGAGTATAGACAATGTAGAGTAAAGGAGCCAATATTGATCCTTGAGGCACCCCTCCTCTAGCGCTCCAGCAATGTAGTCAGTAACTCTGTGTAATTGGTGAGTAGTTGAATGAAATCTACAAAAACCGAATTAATGATCAGGTATTATTTGTTGGTCTGTCAGTATGTCAACCAGTCTTTTGTATATTAATTTTTCGAAAACTTTGGAACATATCGGAAGGAGGCTGATAGGTTGGTAGGCTGAGGGATTGAAAATGTCTTTGTTCCTTTTGTAAATAAAAATTAATTTGATGATTCAAGTCAATATTATTGTGCAAAAATTTTGAAGATTAGAAAGATTGCAATAAAAACTGACTTAATAAATGTTTAAATATATAGATTTATAATAATTACATAATATGGAACTAAAGGTTCAAGCATAATTTATTTTTTTTTTTTAAATCAATATTATCCGTCGAAAGAGTATCTTAATTTTAAAATTGTAAATATTGTAGTGTTTTATGATATTTTCACCTAATTAGCGCCTGAAAAGTTATTATTACAAAAAATAAAATAAAAAGGTTCACTGTCTGTTGAGAATTGTGGTTAAACCTTTATTATTCCCATATTTACTTTGTTATTTTTTTTTAACCTAATAAATTTCTGTAAAATTTAGATTGAGGACTAAGGTGATTGTGGAAGGATAGTGGAAGATTTAATCTTCCCCAATAACATTAAAACGCAAACAGTTATAAGATTTGAGAACCTATTTCAAACCGTAAAAATTAAGATAAAACATTTTACTGAAAGAGTTACCAAAATTTAATACAAATACTAAATAAATTATCTTTTAGTCTAAGAAAATACAATTTTACTGATAAAGTGTTTTTGAATTTGATACACCCTAAACCATTTAGACAGAATTGTTAGGAAATTTAAAATTTTTGAATCGTTCAAATATTTCTATTTGTTACAGAATGAAAGAAATTTTTTTCTATGAAATTGCATTAGAATCTAGATTGCTCATCAAAATCTAACATATCATATTGTGAAAAATTTCGGATAAACTTACAATGTTCTACTCGAATACGTCTAATACTGACTGCTATGGTCTGTAATAGATCTTCTCTTATTCATACAAATGTGATTAAAGTGCTAACTGTTGAGAAAAAAGTACATAAATAACGCTAATTAAGGTGAAAAGGTGATAGGTTGAATTTCTCAGCTAACCATTTCTTAACTTACATGAAATGTTTACATTATAAGAGAATATCAGCAAGCATTTTTTTTTTCTTCATTGAATTGACATTTTGAAACGCACTATTGAATGGAATAAATCCCAGCATGGAGCTAGTTTATTCTGTGTTTATGCTTAGATTTTTACTTAATTATAGCAATGAAAACCAATGAACTATAAGACTACCAAATTTAATTTTTTTAAATGTTTATTTGTCCATAAGTGAGGCATTTCCAAGATAAAATCAATAACTTCTCTCTTATCAAGACCTGAAAATATTTATTCAAAATATCTGTAAATACCGTTCATTGTTTGTAAAACCAATGAAAATTGCTCATTAATTTGTGTTTTTAAGGGCTTAATAGAGGGAAACTCAAGAAAATAGTTATTGGACTAGGTTCTAGGGATGTTGAGGAGAGATAATATAGTACAAAAAGTGTGATTGAAATACATTCATTTTAAGGGTTTTTTTTCCACTTCTGAACCACTGTGTGTCGTCGTTATAACAATAATACGTTTAATACAACAAAGTGTACCAGGTCCCTTAAGGACGTTATAAATGACATCCACTGTATATTAATTCCAATTTGAATAAAATAATTTCTAACTAAAAAATTTCTCTGAATAACAATTTTTCCCTGACTTTTCCCTATTTTGAAAATTCCCTGACTTCTCCAGGTTTTTCAGGTTCGGTCGCCAACCAGACAATTTTACATTTTAATCGAAAATGGCTCTAAAGATTTTGATCCCATTCAATATATCTACGTAAAATTGAATGGTTTTTAATATGAAACAAGTATAAATGGATTAAGGTAAAAATGGAAACAAGGTATAAATGGAAACAAGGATTAGATGGTTGAGGAAAATATGTATTGATCAATTGTCTGAAATGACTATGTGGTACCATCTAAAATTTTCACTTACGTAAGTAGAGGCTGGGGATCAGTAATTGGAGGAACCTAACTGTGGACCACGAGGAGTGGAGAAAAGTGATCGCAGAGTCATTTGTTTATTTTGTAATTTAATCAAATATCAAGGTGGATTGTTTATCATGTTTCTAATATGTCAATAACTATATCTGTTAACTCTTGTTGAAACTAGCTAAGTATTGTGTTTGCTATTCTGCTGCGAATATGGAAGAAAATATCATTCATTATCGGCAATGTTTGATGTATTATTTTTAAAAAGGTAAGCGTGTAGCAGAAGCTCATAGAAAAATTTGTAGTGTTTATGGGGATGATGCCTTAATCGAATGCACCTATCAAAATTGTTTTACTAAATTTCATTCAGGAAATTTTGACATCAACGATGCTCAACGGTATGTTCGCCCACATGAAATGGAAACGAGCAATATTAAGGCTATTGTTAATCAAAATCCCAACCAATCAGTGCGAGAGATTGCTATGGCCCTAAATGTGTCGCAAACAAGCGTAGAAAACCATTTGCTCAAGCTTGGCTATGTTTCCAGGCTTAATGTGTGGGTCCCTCACATGATTTTTTTTTAAAATCACAAACAATTTTATAACTTCAATACGACTTTAGCTATCTTCAAGGAATTTAGGGACACATAAACTAAACAAACTGGCATCAACAGGGCCTTCATAAACAAACTAAAAATGGAGATAAAAAATAAAAACCTATAAGTTTTTGTTTATTTATTCCTTATGTAGGCATTAAATAAAAAAACCCATTCATACGGCTTTGAAGAGCAATAATTCAGATTTCCGACGGATATAATAACATCAAATTTGGAAAACATTCTGAAGAGTTTGAATGATAGGAAGGGTGTTGTATTCCACGAAGACAACACTAGGCCCCACATCTCATTAATTACTCGCAATAAATTATTGAGCCTTGGATGGGACCTTTTGCCCCACCCTCCCTATTCACCAGACCTAGCCTCAAGTGACTACCACTTATTCTGGTCTATGCAGAATTCCATGAATGGAAAGAAATCCCAAAAGAAAGAGAACATCAAAAACCACTTGGATCAGTTTTTTAATAAACTCCAGACATTCTATGAACATGGCATTATGCAGTTAGTGGAAAGATAGGAAGAAGTCATATTATATAATGGTCAATATATTGTAGATTAAAATAAATGTTATGTCTATAATAGATCGAGTTTTATTTAACCTCAAAAACAGCATATTTTTGTATATCTAAAGATGGGTTAAACATTTTCTTTAAATAAAGAAAGCAACTTAAAATAATATTGATGAACACTATTACAATAATTTTATTGCATCAAAGAAATAAATGATGTGTCTGCAGCTAAGGTGCTCTTGTTTGGCTTTCTATATCAATGATATGGTTGACAAAGTGCTAAATTCTTCAGAAGTAACAAAGACCTAGCACAGGTATTAAGGGGAAAAGAAAACTGATCTTGCTCTTTAGTGGGCCAATTAGTCATTTTTGCTAATGCAAAGTTGCCACTTAATTCTACTAAAGTGAGTTTCAAGATTCACTCTATGGGATGATGAACAATGACATGATTTTCAATACATGAAGGTTCAATGAATATGGATTCAACTCAAGAGACATTTGGTTATGCTCAACTGTTGTTGTGTAGTTGTGTTTAACTGACTTATGTATCAGTATGCTTAAATGACTAGACAGTAGAAACCAAACAGCTTACAGATGACTAAGGGGGCACAAACCAATGCTAGTAAAAAATTAGAAAGATAATGAAAAAAAAAAGGGAGATGTTTGGATGTTATTTAGATAATTGTTGATATTATTACAACCTTTATTTATCCAAAATAAAGATGATTATTTTAATGGCAAAAAATTTAACTATAAAGATTAATATATTTAATTAATAATGATTTGAAATTAATTAAAATTAGTACACATCAAAAACATCACGTACCAAATCATCGTGCTTTTCAATTGAAGCTGTCTCATCGTCTTCAAGGGTATTATCATTTCCTTTATGCTGAAATGAAACATTGCAGTTATAAGTAAATTGTAAATTCAATAATAACAATACCCACAAGGGCAACTGATGAACGCAGTTGTTAGGGTTTTACACTTTCCCGGGCTCCTGAGTACATCCTAACATTCACAAACGTATACATTACAGTATACAATACCACATACACTGACACAAGGGCATTTTCATTACATACCCTAGAGCAACCTTACCTAGGAAGGCCTGGCAGAAGATTGAAATTTCAATTACCCATCAAAAAATGGAGTTAAGAAGTCGACATACAGCCCCGGACAAGCCTGGAAATGAAGCTGCACCAGTGGAGAATCTTTGACAGCTCCTTTAATGTAATGGCGGAGCAAGTGCCGCTACCCAGTCACAAAGGACCACAAGACTGCAAGAACCAGCAACTAGTTCGATTTTGGGCTAGGCCAAGACTATTTCTACCTCCGTACGAACCCAACAACAGAGACCAAGAAGTGCTCAAAGGATGAAATGGATGCCAGAAATGAAGAAGGCAGTCTTGCAGGCATATCTTTAGGCAACATAATTAGAAACAGGTAAGACAGGATACTTCAGCAGTATTGGGAAGTGTTATATCCATAGATGATTATAAGTACACAAAGACTCAGGGATCAGGTTAGAGTAATCCGATCGAGAAAATTCCTTTCTGCAATGGAAATTGAAAATATAAAAGCATACAAATGAACATCATCTGAACAATTAGGGATGATACCTGCTGAAAATGAAGAGCAACCAACTGAACATCATCTAGAAATATCGTTGGCAATAGAGGTAGCTTCTCCGGAAGAAGAAGACAAAGACTTACAAAAACTGAAACCCAGCATGTGTTTTTTGAAGGAATACCACATGATGTGAAACCAACCCTATCAAGGATTAATTGCAGCTTTAAATCACGGATGACTATAAAAAAACATTAATGAAACTCTAAGTAAATTTATTACTACCTATCCAGAAACGGACATATAGCTGTTTTTCATTGGGCTTATGTTGCAGCTAGGGTTGTTATCAAACTAGGGTCAGAAGAGGATAAACCAAAGAAAGATAATAGCATCATGAATCTCCTACGCTGGCAGAGAAGATTAGAAAATACAATAGCTTCACTAAGGCCAAACATTGTAGTAATTACAAAGATTTACTAATTAATAATTTATTTACTAAAAGTATACTAGGAATCAAACTAGAGCAAGTACAAAAGTAAGAAGAAAAATTGATGAAATAGTGGTTCTACTGGAAAATGGTTGCGCTGCCTTAAATCATCAGAGTAAAAATTTTCCCCACTGTTAATCAAGAGGTTCTTCTGCTTGATACTTGGAAGTCTAAAGAGTTACATGGAAGATTTCACCACAGTTTTTTGGCATCAGGAGTCAATAACGATGCATCTGTGATGTGGCTGCATAGGAGTATATTATATCCTGAAACCAAAGGATATGTTACAGCAATACAGAACCAGGTGACAGCTACAAAGATCTACAGGCACTGTATTTGTGGAGAAGCTGTAGCTGAACAGTGATGACCTATGCAGAATAATAACAGAATCAATTCAACATATAACATCAGGCTATCAAGTTCTAGCTGGAAACGAATATCTCCTCGGACAGAATAACATAGCAAAGATCGTTCACCAAGAATTAGTCAAGAAATTTTGAATTTTTGACGACCTTTGCCCTTATTAAAGTATAAACCACAGTCATTAACTGATAAATGGTATGTCAAGCTATACTGGGACTAAGCCATTCGGACAACACTATTCTGCACAGCAGGCCTGATATTTTATTTATTTTAAAAGAAGAGAAACTTGCAAATAGTGTCAAAATAAAAGTACCATTGGATGATAATCTTCCTAAGGTGGTTGCAGAAAAAATTCACAAATATCAGGACCTTGGTGAGGAACTCCAACGTTTGTATAAACTTGATAAAGTGAGAGTTTTGCCCTTTGTCATTCCTACATATGAATTAATTCTGGACACGACTGTGAACTTGATGAAGGACTTTGACCTCTCTACTATATATTTGGAACAAATGCAGAAAGCAGCGTTACTCGAAACTATGAGTACTGTCAGAAAACTTATGAACATCACGGAATTAGTTTTTCTAGCCTTATCCTTGATTCAGGTTCAGATAATGTGCTGTTAGTCAAAAAATTAGGGATCTCACTAAATATAAATAAAATATAATATTATATATATACACGTGTGTGTGTGTGTGTGTGTGTGTGTGTGTGTGTGTGTGTGTGTGTGTGCGTGTGCGTGTGCGTGTGCGTGTGCGTGTGCGTGTGCGTGTGCGTGTGCGTGTGCGTGTGCGTGTGCGTGTGCGTGTTTTCCATTCACTCCTAAACAGCAACTCCAACCAACTTCTACAAATCTAAAGACGGATGCTGACACCAACCAGAAGTAAACTAATATCTGGCTGTTTTAAACACTACCAACTTATTAAGTGTTACGTTTTGAGTGAACTGAGTTGCAGACTGAGAGCTATTATATTCTGTAGTGGTAGCTTTTAGAACCTGAGCAAAATTAAGAGGTATGGGTTTTAAAAACTAACATTGGCACCTAACGAAGATGATGTTCTTAACTTTATTTTTATACACATTATAATAATTTTTTTATGGTTAATATACTTACTATGTAAATATAAAATACAACAACCAGTACTTTGGGAGAAAATCAAAAGGTAATAATAATTATTTGACAATGGGATAACTTGAGAAAGAATCAGCAATTTCTAATTTGGGGAACAAGACATGTCTTGTGCAGATACCCTCCTCAAAGCAGGTACAATTAACAAAAGCGATTGAATCACACTTAAAGCATGTGTCATTCATGACATAGTTGAAAAATAACTCATTCAACGCAGCTAAATCAGACATCAATACTTGGCATTGTGACAAGTTCCTGCAATTGCAAACTTTTACAATAATGACTTTGACATTAATACTGCCTAATTTCAGGAACATGATTTGATTTGTGTTTCATAAGTCAAACTAATCTGGAGAAACCTTGAGCATGGATTGTGTCACATAACTTCTGCTTTAATGGGTACTACTCAAGATTGAATTGCTTTTTAAATATGCTCACAGTAAGCAGAAGTAATACATGAGTCAAGTATTGTTTTGGAAAAATTCTATTACGAATCATCTGTTTTTCAAACAACTATCTCTTTCTTATAGCACCTAAACATACTTGTTCTCTTCTATTATTATAAGGTAGGTTTATTAGAAACTGGTTGTAGGTGTAGGTAGAGGTGAAATTACACACAAATAAGAAGTCTTACTTTACAGTGTACCATTTTGGCCAAAGTTTTAGGCCCTCTTTGTTAAAACAAATGCCAGCTATTCAAAGCACTTAGAACAAATTCCATTAACTTAATTCTCATCATGACACAAATGGTCATGAGCAGAACAAATCTTTGGGAAGGAGGTTCTTGAGGGTCGAGGTAAATGGTTCAAAGAGGAGTGTAAGCTGGTCAATGATACGAAGAATGAAGCTTACAGAAACATGATAAATAAGCGCTTCACCAGGAGAGCCACAGAGGAATATAGAAATAAAAGAAGGCTGGAGAAGAAACTCCTCGGGAATAAGAAGAGAGCATGGGAGAGAAAGGAGCTGGAGGATATAGAGGCCCATTGGAGTGTAAAAGAAAGCAGGAAATTCTTCCAGAAGGTTAATAGTGGACGTGCTTTTAAGCCTAGAATACAAACATGCAAGAAAGAAGATGGAACACTGCTTACCGATAAGTCGAATATATTGGATCGGTGGGCTAGGCTCTTCCGTTTGTTATTAAATGAGGAAGCAGTTATAGAAGATATGAGGCAGGTGACATTGCTGGAGAAGATGTGCCTAACAATCTTGGAAATATCGAGCCCCTGGACTTTGAGGAAGTAATGGATGCAATCCTTCGCATGAAAAACAATAAGGCGCCGGGACCGGATGAATTGCCAGCTGAGCTCTTTAAGTATGGGGGAGATGAGTTGCATAGAGCACTGTCCGATATAGTCCTGACAATTTGGGATCAGGAAAGAGTGCCACGACAGTGGACTAATGCTATAATATGTCCACTACATAAGAAAGGAGACCAACTTGATTGCACGAATTACCGTGCCTAAAAAATCTTCTCGAATATCCTTTTCAGCAGACTTACCCCATTTGTGGAACGGGAAATCGGGAAATATCAAGCTGGCTTCCGGAAAGGCAACTCCACTGTTGATCAAGTGTTCGCCCTTAGGACAATTTTGGAACGGAGTCATGAATATAAAATTCCTACACACCACCTGTTTGTCGACTTTAAGAGTGCATATGACAGCATCAAACGACCTAAGCTGTATGAGGCATTGGGAGAAATGGGTATCCCATGCAAACTGATACGTCTCGTGAAGTACATGCATACAGGGACTGGTGACGACGAGGAACTGAGTATTGGCCCTTATAAGTTCCAAAGGGTGAACGAGTTTACATATTTGGGATCTCTAGTAACTGCAATAAATGATGTATCTGCTGTGATAAAGAAAAGGCTGGTGGCAGCAAATAGAGCATATTTTGCCTTACTGAAACTCTCCGCAGCAGATCCATTACCAGGGGCACTAAACTGGTCATATACAAGACGCTTATACGCCCGGTTCTTACCTATGCTTCCCAATCCTGGACCATCTCAAGAAGTGACAAAATAAATCTTCTGATTTTCGAAAGGAAAATCTTACGTCGAATAGTTGGCCCAGTGAGAGATGGAGATGGGTGGAGGATTAGGAGGAACCGAGAGCTTTATGACCTCTATGGGGATGTGGACATTGTGAAGTTTACTAAGCTGGGGAGGCTCAGTTGGGCTGGACATGTTGCTAGAATGAAAGCGGAAGAAATTCCTAAAAAAGTGGTGGAGTGGTGGACACCGCCCTTCACCGTACACGACGGCCTGGTAGGCCAAGGCTTCGATGGGTTGATGGAGTGGCAGCGGACGCACGGAGCCTGCTACGGATCAGAGGCTGGAGAGCGGCAGCACAAAATCGGGCCGAATGGCGGCGGCTCATTGAGGAGGCCAAGACCCACCCAGGGTTGTAGTGCCACGAAGATAGATAAATAGATAGATGAAACAAATGGTAAAGGACTCAGAATGCAACACAATTCATAAAAATCTTATGTTTAGTTATAATTATTCAAATATTTTATTATTGCAAAACATTTTTTTTTAATTAGCAGTTTTTGCATAGCAGTACTTTATTGGCGCTTTTTCATGTGTTAGTACTCTGATCCCAGATCACTCTGGTTATTATGTTAAGATTTTTCTCTCAAATATTTTAGTATTTCTTTTAAGGGTGTTAAATGGTGTACAGGTAACCCAACCATACATCATAATTACACTACATTAACAACATATGTCATTTTTTAAAAACATAACAATTGTTCTTAGATCAATTACCTCCACAATTTGGATTTTTCAAAAATTTCATTGCCCTGCTAAAACTACTAAAATGAATCAATTTAATGACTATTTATCATTTTATTTATTATAATTTATTTCTACCTACCTCTTCTTGCTGAGGTGGTATGAATTTAACCTTATCTAATAAATAGATAGGTTTTAATTTCGGCCAAACAATTTCAAGAAAGTCATCCTGATTAATCTCTTCAAAGGTATCAAAGAAAAACTGAAAAAAAGAGAGAGAAAAAAAGTGAAAATATAGTTATTTCATACAAGATAGAGTAATAAAGTTATAAATAATTAAGAAATAAAATTAAAACAATTAGTTTGCTTTATACAATAAAGAAAATATGACTAAAATACAACCTGTTTCATAGGAATAAAAGAAATGACTAGACCAATACAAAAAAAAAAAAAAAACCAATACATTATAACAAGGGCCTAAATTTTTATGCAGTTAAAAAATAAAATAAAATATAAAAATAAAACATAAAATACACGGTGAACATAACATAACAGAAAACAAAAATATATATTTATTAAAGATTAAACCATAATATGAAATATTTTTTTATAACTAAAATATCAAGATATTACAAAGTTCCAATTAGCAAATAAAAACAGCTTTAGGTAATTGTATATAAAAATAATAACTAATTGACAATATTTTTAAAAAGTTAAAAAATTCAAAAGAATATGAAAATAGTTTAAACACAAATTAACATATAATTAATAATAATTACAAATTTGAGATACTTATTTAACTTTAAAACAACATAAATTTACAATTAGTAATAAAATAAAACTAGCAATGTTTTCAACTGAAAAATTAATTTACAACATTAAAAAAAATTAATGGATGATAAATATTTAGGACTCAGTCATTATCATTAATGACTATGTCCTAAATATTTATCACCCATGATATGTAGAACAGTCGATAAACTTCCTTCAATAATTCGAAAAAAATTAATAAAACACTTAGATTAGGAATAAGTAATCTATGTGCACTGATTGAAGTTAATTTCTGAAAATCTAATCTTCAATCCTTTGGAATATTTCTATATTAAGAAAGTGATGTTACTACAACAGACATAATAGGAACAAATTTGTATCCACTTAAAATTATTAACTTGTCATTTTAGATAGAACTTGTTTTGAACAATAGAAGTACAAACCTTTCAATGATTTTTAAAAATTGTTTTATCTTTGAAATTGTAATGGTGAAGCCAATATTTTTATTTTGAAGAAAATGATACACTAAATTGGACTTATAACTTCCAGAGACATTAGCCTTGTCGACCAAGGCCATGGTTTCTCAACTATATTTTTTAGTATTAATAATTAATGAGTGAAACAAGATTAGTAATAAATAATTATTTGGAGATTCAATTTATTTATCTCTCAATAAATTAATGGGAGAAAGTAAGGCTCTTGCTATAGTATCCTAAGGGGTGTGGTCAAAGATAACTTCTGTATTGACAAAGATATCTGCCTTGATCTTTTTATAAGCTAGAGTTTTCTCAGTCCAGGAAACCAAGAACCATAAATGGTTAATCCGTTTGCTATTTTATGAGGTATAAGAAATTCTAAGTTTATATGCCAGTGATCTATTTATTTGATTAGCATCCAATAAACTAGCAAATACTAAAATATGCTCAACTCAACCCAAAACAGGCAAGAGGCTCAAATAGGACAGAACTATTTACACGTCTTTACTTTTAGAATTTTTCATTAAGTTGGCATGTATAAGGATATTAAATTTCTATATATATCAAAATTACTGTCATTTTTTTATTAATGGAACCATCATGTTTGATGTATAGAAGTTTGACTTTGTATACCTATATATTTCTCTAAAGGATAAAAAAAAAAGTTTACCTTCACTTCATCATCTGACACATCACCATCTTTATTCTGATCAAAGAGTACACGTGTACGAATTTCTCCTATCTGCAACCTAAAATTATATATAAATGTCAAATGATTTCATATTATTAGATAAAAAATCGAAACTATGACCTAATGAAGTAATTAATTAGAGAAAAATCATCCAAAATGTATTAGCTACGAAGCTTATAAATGAACATGTATTGAGGAGATGAATTATTGGTTGCTATTGGTATAATAATTCTTTTTAAACTAGATTTATAAACTACACAGGGGGCCATTTTGTCGTAGTTTTTTTCCCAACAGAAGAAAATTTTTTTTTACCTCAATATAGTGTGACATATTTTGCTTGTAGAAAACTACAAATAAAGGGGGGAAAACGACAAAATTCATTTTAAAAAAAATTGCAATATAAAATAAAGCAATGGATAACTCTTTTCAACAAAAATAAAACATATTTAATTCTTTTTTTTTAATTGTGAAATCTGTCTCTAGTACCCAGTGTTGCATCCCTTTTCTTGAATAATGGCCTGCACTCTTGTAGTCTTACTGCGAATAAAGTGGTTACCCGATCTTGAATCTGATCCATTTCATGTACTTAGAGGTCACAAGGAGGGTTCTGTTGTCAACAGATGAACGTCCTAAGCTGGTCACAAAGATGCTTAATAGGATTGAAGTCCGGGCTGCGAGCTCACCACTCCAAGATGTGGATACTAACCTCATCTATGTAGTTCCTTAAAACATTTATGATGGTCAGTCGAGCATTAAACGGGCCAAAAGGTACCACATATTCCTCGAAGATGTCGGTGATATACGTGTGTGCTTTGGGCATCGGCCTTCGGAACACATGGAGGTCTGTACTTAACTCCAAACATATTCCACCTCAAACCATCACCAACCCTCCTCCAAACTGCACTTTTCCTGCTATATTGCAATGAGCTAATTGCTTACTTGGTCTTTTCCACACTAGAACTCGTTCATCTGCACCATATATGCTATACCTGGACTCTTCAGAAAACAGAACAGAGGCCAAATTATGTTCTGTCCAGGCAGCATGTTCACGACAAAAGTGAAAGCGAGCTGCTTCTCAGTGTGCTACGGCGAGTAGAAAGCTGAAAGTGGGAATCCTAATGTGCAGGTTGAGTTCAGGAAGCCTTCTCCTTACTGTGAGTGCACTGAAAGATTCACCATGAGCAATACACAATTAATGAGAAATCTCAACTGAAGTCTGGTAGCGGTTTCTGAGGATCTGGATAGTAATGAAGTAGTTATCAGCTGGACCTGTCGCTCCTGGATGGCCTGATCACGGCCTCCTGGTACTTCTGGACTGCCCCTCCCCACTGTTGTTTCAGGCAGCCCGTGGACACAAGCCGCGTATCGCTGACTTCGGCCGTTTTCAATTACTGCATTAATCTGAGCGACTGCCACTGGATCCAAAACCATTTTACACTCTTAAAAATGTTTGATGCAAATGAAATATTGCTTTTCAACAAAAAAAAAAAAAGCACAAAAGCAAAATCAATGCGATTCAACAAGCAACTGGAAACAAACTGATATGATGTCCAAGTGTCATTTTAATACTTTTATCGTTAATCCTAGAGAGAATCATGAGATTTTCTCGAAAAGACTAATGTATGGTAATCCTTTTAACCTTTTATATACCTGCTATTACTTCAGGCTCAAAAATAGCAAAAGAGAAACTGAGATGAAGTTTTTCAATGAGAAAAGTTAAATTAACACTGAGGTACTTTAAATGAACATTGTGATTATTCAGGTAACTCACACAGAATTATTAAGACAATAATAAGTTACTACAGTTAATTATGTAATTGTATATATGCAAAACAGACTTTCATGATTCAGAGAATGTTATTCAGTGATGAAACACTTCATAATACAGTATTGAATTTTTTTTTTTTAAATTATATTCAGAAATGAACTCTTATCACTCATATAACAAACATACCATATCATAACAAAATTTATTAAATAATAGTGTAAACAAACCTTCCGTCTTTATCTGAATCAAAGTTGTCAAAAAGAGACCTCACTTCCTTTTCCTCTTTTTCTTTTTCTTCTTGAGCTTTTAAAGCCCTGATTTCCTCTTCTTTGGCATTGAAAGCACCAACAGCAACAGATTCTTGCTCTTCTGCAGCTTTTTTCAGGGCTTCCTTTTCATCTTTTACTTTTATTGCTTCACCCTTTTCATTTTCTAATGTTCCAAGTCTTTCCTGAACAAAGAAATCAAATTTTAAATTTTAAGTTATGTTTTATTTAATATGAAATAATTGTATTTTTAATAATTCAACCAATAATAATAATAATAAGACAACTAGATTATTAGACGTAGTAGAATATACTGGTGTATCTAAAAGATACCCAAAACTTTGGACTGTCATTGCCAAAAAAATGGGATCAAGGACATAAAGTGTACAATTCAGGAAAAGTAATGATTTAAAAAAAAAAATAGACCTGTTTCTCTTGAACTATTCGTTTTCCAGCAGCTATCATCAGAAGTCTCATATTGCTACCATGACTAAGCATCTGTGCATACCTTTCTGCTGCACGTCTAGCTTCCAGTCCTAATATATCACAAATATCACCACATTTATTTGTTAAATATTCATCTGAAGCATCACAGCAATCTGAAAAATTATTCAGAAAAATAAACCCCATAAAATGACAGTTCTACTGCATATAAAATATATAACATAAGAAATAAATGAATAATCATAGAATCATTGCTAATAAAGTTTTGTCTAATGTCCTGTTTGAGAAACTAGTCACATTCACAAAGAGAGAACTTTGGAATTATCAATCAATATTTAGAAGAGGCTGTTCAACTGACAAGATGTTTACATTGCAGATGATCCTGGAAAAGTGTATGGAATACAAGCTGACCACTTACCATCTCATTGTCAACTTTAAGTCGGCATATAATCCGACGAAGAAAAAGCCCAATTATTCGGTCAACATCTGTTCCAAATTTTCAACCCACATCCTGATATCCTTAATCCAACCCACATCGAATGTATTGAATCAGAACTGGGTACTCCTCTCCAAATGTCCCTTCCACCTAAAGCATTTCATCCCACAGAAATATCCAACATCATTCAAAGATTACCCTCCCACAAAGCTCCTGGACATGACCTAATAACATCCCAGATCTTGAAACTTCTTCCTCGAAAAGCCATCCTATTCCTTACTTTCATATATAATGCTGTACTCCGATCCACATATTTCCCTGATCCTTGGAAAATATCTATTGTCAAAATGATCCACAAACCCAAAAAGCCACCAGAATATCCATCCTCTTACCGTCCCATCTCTCTATTACCCATCATGGGAAAAATCCTGGAAAAACTAATCTTAAAACGCCTGTACCCAATCCTAGATTCTAATCACATAATCCCAGATCACCAATTTGGATTCCGCTCCTCCCATTCCACTATACAGCAATGCCATCGTGTAGTAGACGTAGTATCCTCTGTATTGGAGCGCGGTATGTACTGTAGGGGAGTCTTTCTCGATGTTGAACAAGCGTTTAATAGAGTTTGGCACCCGGGACTGTTGTACAAACTCCAAAAATTCCTACCATCTACCTACTTCCTCATTATCCGTTCCTACCTTACTGATAGATACTTTAAAGTAAATCACAACAATGTCTATACATCCCGTTTTTCCCAGTCTACAGGTGTTCCTCAAGGTAGTATCCTAGGTCCTATCCTTTACACAGTTTATACAGCTGACATCCCAACCCATCCCAACACTGTCATCACCACATATGCTGATGACACATGTATCCTATCAGTTAATAACGACCCATCTATTGCATCCCAAACCCTTCAATCCCACATCACAAACCTTGAAGAATGGTGTCAGAACTGGAGAATTAAAATAAATTCCAATAAATCCCATCAAATTACCTTCACCCTTCGTCGTAAACCAATGACTTCCTGTCCTTCAGTATCCTTTAACAACACCTCACCTATTTCTGTTGAACAAATCCGTTACCTAGGACTCCATCTGGACAAACGTCTAACTTGGAATCCTCATACCAGACTGAAACGACAAGAAACAGCTCGACGTTTCCGACTACTTCAACACTTACTTGACAAACGCTCTAACCTTCCAATAAATTATAAAAGACTCATTTACATGACTATAATAAGGCCTATTTGGACTTACGGAGTTGAGCTATGGGGCTCCACCAAACCTTCAAATTCCTCTCGCATACAATCCTTACAATCCAAAATCCTTCGTAAAATCCTCAATGCTCCTTACTTAGTTACAAATAAAATTATCCATAATGACCTTAATGTTCCTTATGTATCAGATTTGGCCTAATCCAGATATCTGTCCTTCCATAATAAACTTCATAACCATCCCAACCCTCTTGTCTCTAATCTTGCTTCCTATTCGATTCCTGATAACCCTCCGAGGCGTCTGGAAAGAAGATGGCCACGTGATCTTCTAATATAGACATATTATTAGAGTGCTACCAATGGGTAGTTTCTCAACATGTGTTCCATGTCATTATATCCATGTGCGAATTTACCAAATGTATTTTTTGTATACAGTTGTAAACATCATATAAATAAATAAATAAATAAATAAAAAGTCGGCATATGACAGTATTGGTAGAGAGGAACTGTACAAGGCCCTAGAAGAGCTTAAACTCCCAGGAAAACTCACAAGACTTGTAAAGATGACCATGAAGAACTCAAAATGTGCAGTCCTTGTGGGGTCAAGTCTTTCTGAAGCATTCCAAACCAGTAGCGGAGTAAGACAATGATACGCCCTGGCTTGAAAATATTTCGATGACGTTGACATTGTGGCGAGGTCAAAATAGGCATTGAAGGAGGCATTTTTGCTTTTGAAATATCTGGCCTCACAGTCAATGAGCAAAAAACTAAATATATGTGAGCCGGTGGTGGTGGAGACCATTTCATATTCCTGGTCATTGGTCCCTATAAGTTCCAGGGAGTGGAGACTTTTGTGTACCTAGGATCCAAGATGAACTCCAGGAACACCGTATCTCAGGATATCAGCAGGCAGATCAATGCTGCTAATAGATGCTTCCTCGGCCATTGTAATAATTTTAAGAGCAAAATCATTTCCTCCAATATAAAAGTCAACCTTTACAAGACCCTGGTACATCTTAGTACTCATCTATGGATCAGAGCAATGGGCAACCACCAAGATAGACGAGAACAGATTACTGATTTTCGAAAGACAGGTGCTCAGGAGAATATTGGGAACAGAAAAAGAGGGAGAGGTCTGTAAAAGAAAGAACAGGGAGCTTTATAATGTCGATTTAAAGATGCCGACATCATACGGGTTATAAAACTGAGATGAATCCCTTGGGCCGGTCATGGGTAACTAAGAGATTTCAAGGAAGATAATGACCAAAGAGATGCACCGAGCAAGGAGAGTAGGGGGGGCCCAGAACAAGATGGCTAGATTGTGTGGAAGTGGATGCGAAGAACCTGCTGAACACCAGGAAATCTTTACTTGGATTGCTACAGCACAAGACATTATGCTTAAGGAGGACGAGACTCGCAAGTGGGTTGTGCCGAATATGTACGTATGAATGTATTTACAATAAAAAATTAACTTATTGTTTACAATAACGGTACAATAAAACAATTAATTTTTAATTTTGATTTGAGTAAAACAGTTAATTAAAAACGCTTTTGATGATTTTTTTTTTTAAGTATCCTTAAACAAAACAAGTTTAATTACATCCCATGAAAAAAAAGAAGCCAATTTCAGAAACAAACTTATTTTTACAACACTTTTTTTAATAATTAGGTTCTTTTCGAAAAAAAAATTAGTGCACATCTAAACTACTGTTAAATTAAACTAACTTATTTCTAATGTCAATATTTCTCACTTTTCAAATTAGTACACATTTAAAAATAAATAAAATACTCATTAGTATTTCAGCAATATTACTTACCACAATACCCATCATTCACACGCGATGATGGAATATATTCAGGAACATAACCTTTGTTTTCACAATGAAATGTTCCATTTGGACAGGCAGATGTACCAGGCTCATCAGATCCATCAATACAATCACAAAAGTCATCATTTACATGAGTAAATGGGATGGATATACTTCCATCAAAACAGTGAAAATCCTTTGATGGATCATACAAAGGCAGTCCTAAAAATAAAAAAGAAAGTAAGTAAACATTGTCATAATGACTTATATAAATACAATTTTTATAATCAGAGTAAAGAATAAAGAAATTTTATCTAATTAAATATCTAATCTAACTCATAATTAGCTTAGTCTCTGGAGCATCTAGAACACAATATTGATACCACCTTGCCATCACCTTTCTGTATGGTCAGAACTAGATCAACCGTTCACTTTTAAAAAACTTTCAACCGCAATCAAATCAAGCAGAAATGTCACATCAGGTCATGATGGTATACAATACAAGATGACTAAATAATTCCCTGATTCAGCTAAATGGTATCTTCTTGAATTGATCAATAATGTTTGGATTAAAGATTTGACAGTAACTGATTGAGGACTTCAGATTATTTGTCCGATTCTTAGACCTGGCAAGGTTTCTGACAAGGCTGAGTCTTAAAGGCCCATAGCTCTTTTTTCTTTAGTGGCTAAAACATATGAAAGAATGATTAAGGCCTGCCTTGAGTGGTGATTGAAAAAAAAACCAGAAGCTATCCATTTCACAACATGACTTCAGAAGAGGTCATAGCAAAACTGATGTTCTTGCTTCGTTTACTTTTGACATCTGCACTAGTTTTACTTCTAGCAAGTATCTCTTTGCTGTATTCATAGATTTATTAAATGCTTGTAACTGTGTTAATATTAAGCTTTTGATCAACCTTATGAAAGAACTTATGTTTCCTACCAGAACTGGTGGTCAGAAACTTGTTGCTCAATAGGAGATTAATTGTGCACTTCGACAACATTTCTATAGGTCCAAGGAGTGTTCATGTAGGCTTACCACAAGGAGCAGTCTCAAGTCCAATATTATTTTCTATCCAGATATCCTCTCTTAGTTGTTTATTTTCGCCTAACATCAAAACAATAAAATTTGTAGATTACATTACTATCTATACTTTCCACAAAAGGCTGGATCAAGCTATAATATATATGACAGAAAATATGGAAAGATTTAACTATTGGTGTATTAATCATGGTTTTACCATATCCGAAAAAAAAGTGCCATCACAATTTTCTCCCGCAAGCATAGTTCAATAACCGGTAACATACAATTAGGTCCATTTGCTTTTAATATCACAGAAAAATTCAAATCACAGAGAGTTCTGCTGGACCTGAAACTGCTGTAGCGTGACCATATTAATCACTTATGCGATTCAAGCGAAAAAGTGTTGAATATGATGAATAAGATGTGTCTCATGTGACTCAAGTTCGCTATGGATCCCATCCAAGTAAATCCCTTCTCCTTTTCTTTTAAAAGGCGTTAATCCTATCAAGATTGGACTATAGTTCTCAATTAAATGGCGATGCAGCAAAATCTTATTTAGATAAAACTAGATAAGATACAATATAAATCACTTAGGGTTTATATAGGAGCAATGCGGACTACCCCAACAAATGCCCTTCAGGTGGAAGATAGAGAAGCCTTGTGGAAATTTCGTAGGGAACTAATTTCAGGAAGATTTTTTCATTGAGAATTACTATAGCAGATCACCCAACAGTCAGGCACATCAAGCAACTAGCTGAGCTGGTAAATTCCAATAGAGTTTGGCAAAAAAAGAAACCTTTATCTCCTTCCCATCCCATCAAATTGGTCAGTTTTCCCTTCCTATATAGAACCGGCCTTCAGTGGGTACTGTGAACAAGCGTTGACATTATACACTGATAGCTCCAAGCAAGGATTTGAAGTTGGTTCAGCTTTGTATAATCCATTAGAAGATATGTCAGTTGTAAAAGCTACTGGGGGTTAGCTTCCATATTTACCGCCGAGGCTATAGCAATACTCAAGGCTCTAAAGTATGCCCTACTTGCCGAACCTTCTCGTGTTATTATTTTCTCAGATAGCCAAAGTGTGGTTGTCTCTATCAAGAATGTTCACAGCTCCTCTCATGCTATTATATCTGAAATATCTAATCTACTATGCCAGTTACATAATAGGACCATAAATGCATATATTATTTGGATAAAAGGGCATAGTGGTAATGCATTTAACGACAAGGTTGACAAGCTTGCTAGAGAAGCAGCTTTTATCGGTAATCGTCGACTGTATGTATTAGTGAAATAGACTAAGGCTCACTTAAATAGAAACTGACAACAGAAACGGCAAAAAGAGTACTCTACCAGCGTGAAAGGGCGTTATTATAAAGCTGCCCAACCTCAAATCCCATGATTTATTTGGTTCCAACCCTATAAAGCTTCCAGAAAATTCCTAACTTCCATATAACACCTACACTTCAACCACAAAAGCCTACCACAAATCTCTTTAAACATCTTGGACTCTCCTTATTGCTCCGGCGACCATTCCTCAATAGCCAATAAAAACCATGTTCTCCTTTCCTGTCCAAATACGTCCACAGACCATGATTCTTTCTACCATCTTCTCATCAAAAACAATATCTCCCTCCTTACAACGATTCCTGCTATCCTGACACTAACTCATACATCAAAAATTATTTACGCCTTATCACTTCTAATAACATAAACTGTTGAGCATATGAATTGATTGGTATATTGGCTAATATGCCCATGCATAAAGCCACAAAAAAAAAAAAAAAAAAAAAAAACTGTACCAAACAAATATGATTAACTCTAGTCAGGGTCAGGATATTAGATACAGTTTTCATCAAAATAATATTTCCAGATATTCATTATACCATAATGCTGCATGAAAAATACATTAGACTATATATAATTTAATAATCTTATTTCAACCAAGTTGAAATAAAAGTACAGCAGCTTATCATAGAAAGTCCATAACTAAAATAATGTTTTCATACATGGACTAATAGGAAGTAAAAAATCAACAATTCTTTCCTACATATTTTTAAAATTAAAATTATAACTTTTTTTATTTAATAATTATAACCTCACTACCACTCTTATTAATTTTCTCAAAAATATTTGCTTAACAATAAAAACATGTAAATTTATTATAAATTAAAACAAGAATTCAAGTACAGCAAATGTATTCATACATAACTATATTATACAGCAATTCATCCATTTATTTTACTCAAAACATTTAAATTAATATTTTGAAAGAAATACTTTGTTTTTTAGTACCATACAGGCATTGATTACATTAACTTTGAAGTCAATAAGTATGGTATTTTTCCCAATTCTTCAAACAATTTAGTTTTATGATATTTAACTCACATAATATTTTGATTTTGGAGCTGTAAATCAACAAAAGCTCACAAATGTTTTGAGATTCAAATCTGGAATCTAGAGGGGAGTTTCATGTTCATTTGGATAATTATATAGTATACACATCCTTAGCTTGGGCTTAAGGATAATTAATCTGATAAGTTATGAAAAAAAAAAAAAACAAGTTACTGGAATGATGTAATTAATTCAGATGAGAACAAATTCAAAATCGATAATGTGGAGAAAAGTAGGAAATGAATTTGAGCTAGTAAATTTGTAAGAAACAATAAAAAGCAGAGCTGGGAGAGTTCTTGTGAGGGTATATATGTCTACTTCAGTCAGGAATTTGGTTTTTATGAACAGATTAATGGAGAAGTATATATTTATATTAATTAAAATTAAATTTAAGGGTTATCAATGGCCAAATTGGGTCTATAACAGACATTTACATTTTATCAGGATAGCAACCCTGAGCCCGAAACTCTTCACATACAGAAGAGGCTTTTAAATAATTATCCAAATGAACATTCCTCTCCAGAGTCCTGATTTGAATCCTATCAAAAATCTATGAGCTTATGTTGATTCAAATAAACAAATGAATTAATATATAATACAGCTATGTACATAAACATTTGCTTCAATAAAATTAGCATCTTGTACTTTAATTTGCTTGTGCTTTAATTAATTTAAATATATATATATATATATATATATATATATATATATATATATATATATGTATGTATGTATATGTAATGTATTTATAGTAAGGCAAATATTTTTGAGAAAATTGATGAGTGGTATTGAATTTATAATAAGGGGATTAAATAAAAAAATATGCAGGGAAAAATTCCTTTTTTTATTTCTTATCAGTCCCAGTATGAACACGTATGCTGGCCACTGTAAGTATTACTGATTCCATTCTCATTTACAGTCAACACAGGATAGCATAATTAATTTCTCAAAAATATATATTTAAAAATCTCACTGTGTATAGGTACTCCACGTAGTATAGTGCAAATACCAAAGGCTATAACGTTAAAAATAAAAACGAACTTAGATAAATTAAGCATTTTTTAAAGATTAATCAGTATAACAAGACTGATAAGACCGGTTACTAAATATAAAATCGCGATTACTAAAAATTTCTAGATTCGTTATGGCATAATATTGCACTTAGAACTCAAAAATGTTTTAATTAATCTGAATGATATAATATCCAGATTGATAAGAATGTGCAAACATAACACTTTTAGGAAAATTGCATCTTACAACAAACCGCTTATGCGTATCGAAAAAACCTTCCCTTTTCTAGATCATAGAGGTAGTTGTTGACGATTGGCAAGCACCATAACTCAAATCCAATTTCAACAATAGAACTATACACCGATAGACAGCGATTTCCAATGAATTTTCGGGATCTTTAAACTGATTAAGTTAATAAATAATAAATAGCAGAGTACTTGAAAAATGATCTTGCGATGATAACCATGTACATGGATAAAATATTTGTATTTTATATAAAAAAATATCACTAACGGATCCAGGATTTAATTTTTTGGAGAGAGGGCTTCAGCCCGAAAACTTTTTTATATACCATATGTATTATAATAATTTCTTTGGAAGAAAAGGAAACTAACTACCTATATGAAATGCTATTTTAATTGATTTGAGTGAGAGAGAGAGAGCTGGTCACGATAATAATTTCTTTTTTTATATTACGTCTTTTTATATTTAAGTGTTGAAAGATTTAAGAGGAAAATTCTCCGCATGATAACCAGAGCGATTTGGGATCAGAGCACTAACACATGGAGAAGAAAGACCAATAAAGAACTGCTTACAGAAACTGGTCAGTCAATATCCCATGATATGAAGGCACGGAGGTTAAGATAGGCGGGGCATGTAGCTTGTAGCAATCCATCTGAAAGCCTCTACGTAACAATGACTGCCTCAATAAAAGGTAAAACACCACGTGGAAAGCCGAAAAGCAGATGGATAGATAGAATCAACAAAGATGCGTGCAGATAAATGGAAAGAAATACCCCAAGACAGGAAGAGATGGATCAGGCTTGTTTAGGCGGCCAAATATTTACATGGTCTGCAATACCAACAGAAATAAAATAAAAAAATTACATAAGGAAATTCGTCTATGAGAATGAATTTTCCCTATATTTTTCTTATTTTAAATAGCTGTTTTTGAAACTTTTTTCGGATTTTTTTCCATCTTCCAGAGAAGGAGGGAACCCCCCTGCTGGATCCGCCAGAGAGTGGGAACATAATTTTTGAATTTGGTACATTTGTCGAGGTATGTGTGCTGCTTATGCAGAGAGAGTTTTGATGGGCCGGGTGGCCGAATGGGCTAACGCGTGTGTACTGCACCGCCGTTGCCCGGCAACCTGGTAAATTAATCAAAGATATAAAAATAGACACGAGTTTGCGTCCCGGTGCCGGGGGAGTCTTTTAAATCCCCGCCAACACCCCCTGGCCCGGGAAAATCCCGTATAGCCTTAATGGCGAGGAAGGGAAGGACAAAAAAAAAAAAAAAGAGAGAGAGAGAGAGAGTTTTGATTGAATGCGTGTGGCAATGGACGATGGTCCGTAATTATTGAAAAATTCTTGCCTTCGACTAAATTTCTAAAGTGCTTGACGGCTTCGTAGATGGCCAGTAGTTCTGTCATATACAGAGTAATTCTTCTGGGCTATATTTAATGCCTTGGAAAAAAAAATTGCCGGATACCAGTTGTTATCATTTTTTTGTTGTAAAACAGCGCCCATAGCTGTATCTGAGGCGTCACTGGCTATTGACATTTCGGCATTAGGATAAGGGTGGATTAGTTCTACTGATGCGGCTAAGCTTTTCTTGGACTCTTCGAATGATTTCAAAGTTTCTGAAGTCCAGGTAATGGGCGATGAATCTTTTTTGGGCTTGCCGTGTGTCAACTCATTGAGAGGTTGTTGAATGGAGGCCGCGTTTGGTAGGCAGGGTCTGTAGAAATTGACCATTCCCATAAATCGCCTGGATTGGCGTAGATTCATTGGAGGAGGATATTCCAATATTGTTTTCACCTTGTGATCCAAAGGTTTAATGCCAGTTGTAATGAGATGGCATCCTAAGAAGTCTAGCTCTGGAACTCCAAAAATACATTTAGTTGGATTGGCCGCTATTTCATATTGGTCTAGGCGTCGCAAGACTTCGCGGAGGTGAGCTTCGTGTTGTTGCTCGCTTTCAAACGCGATTAAGAAGTCGTCCAGAAATTTATATAAGTAATTGTGATCGCGGAATTTGTCATCCACAAATTGTTGGAAACTTTGTCCGGCGTTTCTGAATCCGAAATTCGTTCGGTTGTACTCTATGAGTCCGAATGGCGTTATGATAGCTGTCTTTCTAAGCAATGGGAATATGATAATAAGCTCTGCGAAAATCTATTTTTGAAAAAATCTTTTTGCCGCTTAATTCCATATTAAAGTCCCTAAGATTTGGAATTCCGTACTGGTCCGGGATTGGTTCGTTTATTGAGAGCTCTGTAGTCTCCTCATAATCTTAAGCTTCCATCCGTTTTCTTCACCATTCCTTCCGTTTTAATGTAAGTCGGAGGTGTAGGCGGTAGGCTTGAAGAAGTTGGTTGAGAGACCTTGTAGGTATCCCTTGATGGTGATACCACGTGAATTTTATCTGCGATCGTAGCCAGTTTTTCCACGTCTGTGTGTTCCGTCGCCGCCAGGATGGATTGAAAACGGCTGAGCAGATTTTTCAGCCATAAAGTTGGGTCAACTCTGAGTTGACACTTGTGCCAGCTAGTTACTGCATTCTTCTTAGTAGCTGTAATGGAGTCTGGTCACCTAATGGGATGTCTTCCAAAAGCTTCTTGATGCGTAAAGTCTCCGATTCTCCATAAGACTTTGCTAGCCGCTCCTTTAAATTTTCATATGATTGCTTCTCTGGATCCTCACGAAGTCTTGTATCTGAGTGAGCACATCTTGGTCTATATTAGTAAGTAACAACTGAAATTTTATAGTGCTCGAAGTAATTTTCGAAGTTTAAAATACTGCCTCAACAGTTGCAAACCATAGAGCTGGGTTATTCTTCCAAAACCGAGGGATCCGTGATATAGGTCCTTGATAGAAGTCAATATGAGGTGAAGCTTGTCCTTGACTATCCGATTCAGTAGGCATCTTCGTTTCTCCAGTCATTTTTGAATCACGTCGGGGTCACCAATTATCGAGGTATGTGTGCAGAGATTATGCAATTACCAGAAGGCCTCGACAGAGCGTTGCTCAATTTAGGGGTAAGATGACTAAGTGGATGTAGGAAGATGAATAGAAGGATGACCTTAAGTGACAGGCGGATCAGCACCCAATCACTCTACGGTGTAAGAGATCAAGCTTAACATTCCGCAATGATAGTAACCACAACCGGAGGGATCAAATTCCGGACTTGTCGGAGGATGAGATAGTAACGGAGGGATCAGTTTTCTGACTTAATATATAGGAATACAAGCGGACGGATCAGCCTCCAGACTAGTACGGAAAGAGAATAGGAAAAACGTTTTGAATAATTCTTAAAGAAAAAGGCAAAGTGAGGTATTAATAAGAAGAGTATATAAATCACGTACTATTAAGTAAGTGACTGATAATCTTAAAGCCATAAGGGCTAGGAGATCATTCTCTCGTGCGAAAGGTGGGTAACGAGAATCGTACCCGATTATTCTGGTCTTTTTTTTTTATCAGTTGATTTATATACCTTCATCTTTATTTAGTAAAATAAACATACTTTTATAATACATGTTTTACAATAAAAGAAATATACATTTTAAAAAGTTAATTATACAAAAAATAAAATATAAAAATCATCCTGTGACGTGAGCGCCTTGTGATGGCGCAGTCTCGTAGCGGGCGCTTGAACTACGTGCAGGGACACTACAGGACTCCGCACAGAGCCGCTACACATTGTTTGGACTAGTAAGGAGGTAAACATACTAAAAGTCCCCACTCCTAGGTGGTGAGCCAGATGTGGGAGTGCGCCTATAAAGCCACTTTTTGGGGTTTTTGGCTTATATCAGAAAAACTATCCATCGCATCGCATCGCAAGTTGATAAAATTTGCAATATGGTTGATTATATACATTTTTTTCTCTACATCGTTTAGTTTCCGAGATAGCCGTCCTCAACTATGCCTAATTTTGAAAAAAAAAAAATGTATTTCTTTTTTATTTCATGTTTTTTTTTCTTTATTTCTCTAGCTAACTCTTGACTCCTTCATTCTACCATTAAGACATGAAAAAAAATTATTTTTTTAACAATTGCATTTTCTTCAAGAATATGTGTTAGTTTACTAATTATCTTCAACGGTTCAAAAGTTAGATCAATTATAACTTATGTAATTTTCGAAAATTTTCAGAAAAAAATAATTTTTATAATATGGAAAAAAGAAAGTAAATAAATTTTATTCTGGGACATTTAGTCCCCTCAGAATAACTATAATGAACAAAGAAATGACAATTGTCTGGCGACTATGAATAATTAAATGACAATTAAAAATAAATTAATTTACAAATTTGTCTAACCTTAATATTAAAATAAAGAAACATGCAAATTTTTCATAATATTAAAAATTCTTAATAGACACTGTAGGAAACATATGATATTGAAGTAGACATATGAATTTAAAGATGAATACTTACGGGTGAGTTCACGTATTTGTACAAATAAGCAACATAGATATCTGCAATATATCGGTATAGTGTAGCTGACATTTCTAAAGTTCAAAATAACTTTATTTTACATATATCCGGAAGATTGATTACTGAGAAAATGGAAAAATAAATTGTGTTTAAATGAGGTCAAGGATGAGGAATTCCGTATAGAGGTCGGCAGGGAATTCCAAAACGAGATAGGATGTATGACGAAGGATTTTTTCAAGGCAACAGTTCCATGAGAATGAATAACCAAATTTTAGGACTGGGATCTCGTGTTGAACGAATAAACAGAGGAACAAGGAGTCGCCGTCGGAAAACTGGAAAGAGCCACTTCAACTCGGCATAGCAACTGGAGACGTAGAAGCGCCTGGAGACTCCAAATATAAATCTAATGAAAAAATGCATTAGCCTCTTTTATCTGATCTCAAGCCTACCAGACAGTCCACCGTATACAAGGCAGCCATAATCGAAGTGAGGGAAAATGAGAGAGAAAACTAGGAGCTGACGGATTTTAAAGGGCAGAGAGTCACGGAATCTAAGGAATTGTTTGGTAAGGAGGATTTCGTGATTTACGAAATCGAAAAACTTTGACAAATCAAAGAGGACTATCGAGATTTTCTGTTTGTCTAAAGAGAAATGAAGGTCCTGGGGAATTTTCAGCAGAGCGGATTGGGTGGATAACCTGGATCGGAAACCAGACTGGAAGGGATTGGGGAGAGCTTTTTGCTCAAGGAATGTATTAAGCTGTGAGTGGATTATTCTTTCAAGAGGCTTCGAAAGATTGGAGTGAATGGAGATGGGTGTGAACGTTGCCCAGTGGGCGGACAATAACTTTTTTCTAAGGTGACGGGAAACTGGAATTTTGTAAGGAAAAATTGTACATATGCAGTAGGACAGGAAGTCATAATTTGATTAACTTCACATGAATTAGGTCCGGGCCATAGTCGTTTGTTCTGGATTTTAGGACAGAGGAAAAGTGGTAATTCTGTTGATCTGAAGAAACATGATAAGAGGTGCAGGATTTTGATTTTACCACTGAAAGGTTTTTAAGGATTTTTCATCTGGACTTAGGATCTGAGCCTTGTGATAAGGAAGTATGAAAGAATTGTGAAAGATTTCGAAGAGTCATAAAATAGAAGTAGTCATTCGGATTACGTGTTCGTCTGAAACGTCTCGTTGCAACATCTCTTCTTTTCATCAACTCTCTTATTTCTGGATTAATCCAGGAAGCTGCAGGGCGTCTGAAGGTCGAGGTCTTTAAGAGGGCGTGCTGATTTAGGAATAGGAGAAGGTTTGAGGATAGAAACTCCACCATTTCATCAATAGATGATTAGGAATAGATCGGATCGAAGGATTGGACTGCTGATTTGAGGAAAGGTTTTAGTTTTTCAGAGGTCAATGAGCCAAGATCCCGCCATGTAATTTGCCTGTCGGGCATTATAGGAAATCTTAATGATATCATTATGTGGAAGGAAGGAAACAATATAATAATATTCGTTATTATATTGCTTTAACTCTCTAAACATCCCTGCTCCTTCTCATCCCATAGTGCCGTTATGAGTGAGTGAGGATACAGACGATTTTTAAACTAGACCTCTTTGTAACAAAGTTCTATTGCTGAACATATTCTAGAAAGTTTTTTATGAAACCTACCAACTGTTTACCTATTTGTTTTTGTTTTGTTTTGACAGGCAGTTTCCATCAATTTTGGCTGTTATTGACTATGTACGTATGTAGATTAAGAATGTCATGATTTAGGATAGGAAAAAGCAAAGCGTATGGTATGATACTTTTTTTTGTTTTGTTTTTTAATTTACTGTATGAAATTGCTTTAAAGTTGGATTGATCATCTATTATTAGGTAATGAACAATCGGTAGTATTTGTATTATCATTATTTTATGTAATTTTTTGAAAATGTATTTGAAGTTCTCATTTGTTTAAAATTATAAACATATAACTTTCAAGTAAACTATTTAAAATGTAGAGATGGTTGACCGTTGATATAATATGAGAAGGAGTTAGTCGGGGGTGCGGTCAAATAAATAATAAATTAAAATACATTAATTATTTTTATAATATAATTATTAAACTAATTAATATATTTTAATTTATTATTTATTTGACCGCACCCCCGACTAACTCCTCATATTTAAAATGTAATTGTCTCTTAAATTGGCCTTTTTAATATTCTCAATTATAGCCTTCTATTTAGCTGATTTTTAGCTATAGATTGAAAACTGACTGTTTACACCTTTTTATAAATTATGAAATATTCTGTTATTAATTTGTTGATAGCGAAGTTTATGTTGGGTTGATTTCTTAGATACAGTTGTTGTTAAGCATTAATGATAAAATAAACTGTTCTGTAAGTTATCACTGTAGCAATTATTATTAATTTCATGAATTCCTTACACAGAATATTTGTCTATCCCGTAGTTCTGCCAGTTATCTCGATCTCCAGCTGGCTCTTTGACTTTAGACCAAATCTGTGTGGCCCTACACTTCTCTAGAATTTGTCCCCATGTGTCTCTAGGCCATCCATGCCTTTACTGTGCTTGGTGGTTCCACTCAAGACTCTGCCGGGTTATATTGTTATGCTGCTTTTCAAGTGTGTGGTCCAGCCATCTCCAGTTCTGACATTTAATGACCTGATTTAGCAGAATTTTGTTAGTTTGCAACCAGAGTTCAAATTGGAGCTTGTTTTACTAGACACACTCGCAATAAGTTCCACTGACATCTGATAACAAATGTCTGAAGCTTCTCAGTTACTTTCTAACTTTCCATGCATATAGTAAAACTGATTTATCGTTTGTATTAAAAATGCAAATCTTGGCCCCATTCCGGATTTCTTGTGATTTTCACACCGACCAGAGCTAAAAGAAAGCTTATTGTACTTTCTTTGTGAGCCCCACATTCCTTGCCATCCTGGCTCACCATACTCCCAATGTATCAGAACTTGCGGTACTCCTTTAATAGCCAGTCGGGATGAAACCTCCTTTGTTATCTAATGTTACATTACATAACCTCCCTTCTTATCTCGTGTTTATTTTTGTTCCATTAGTGTAATTTCGTCAAATTATGGATGTTATTACATTTTGGGAATTGCCGGGATAATTGCAAAGGTGGAATATTGTGATGGAGGTCATGAAATGAAGTTCGACGGGAAGACGGAATGGAGATGCTTCTGTACCACTTGTAATAAAAACGTTTCTATAACGAATGGAACGTAGTTAGAGGGACCGAGGATTTCTTTAGAACATTTCTTTTCATCTATTTAATATATATGTTGTAAAATAAAAGTATTTAATCAAAATGTTTTGTTATTATTACATTTGTTTTCATCTATTTAATATATATGTTGTAAAATAAAATTATTTTTTTATTATTACATTTGTTTTTGTTTACAATTTCAATAATATGAATATAATACAATAAATATGAATACGAAGATAGGAATTATCTGTGACTTATCAGAATTATCAGTGTTAAGGTGATAAACATTGGCAGATAGCAGTCCGTCCGGACCGGCTATTTAAGGAGTATCGAACTTGCTTACTGTTTCAATAATTTTATCTTCTGTAAGAAGATTTTTACGTCTCCTGCTTTTTACTCCCATCTCTTTTCAATTTAGCAGCATTTGTTTTGAGGTTGATTCTTTGAGCTTCTTGGAGACCATTCAGCTTATATGCATGCCTGAAACTTTTGGCATAATAACATCTGCAAAGTCCAGATCTTCGAGTCTTTCCTTGAGCATCCACTAAACTCCTCATTCTGTAGGAAGAGCTCTGATTAAAGAGTACCATCAGGAATAAGTTAGGGATGCCAACACAGACTTTTCAAACACTAGTCCCAACATTAAAGGGCTCTGACACTCGGTCACAATGGATATCTTGACTGAAGGAACCATTATATAGTTTTTTATCAATATTTATGTACAGTAGTTATCATAACTTTTCTATTCTCATCAATGAATCTATTTCTTACTTTCAATTCTCAATGCATTTTCAGCTCTCTGTTGTTTATTCTGTGTTACCATATATATTCCATCAATTTATGCTTGTATCTGCTTGTTAATTCAATATATATAGTCATTACTTTAGACGTGAATAAAGAATTTGACTTAATTAAAAAATTTGACTTAAGTAATATAATTGTCACTACTTCTCATATTCAGTTGATAAAACGTCTTTTATTAATATTGTAATGTGTTTTACAACATAAAATGTGAGTTTAAATTGATCATTTTGCTTTAAAAACTTGATTATGATTGATATTTCCATTATTATTTCCTAATGCATTTTAATTGTTATATGAGTCATTTCAGTCACATCTGGACATACATTTTTTTTGTAAAAAAAGAAAAAATCAATTAACTATATTCAAGACATTTTAAAAACAAATCAATTTTCTTGATAGTGAGGTGTATATGGGTGATCAACAATCATATTTAACAATATGTAAATGAGTAATATTAAGTTGTATTTATTTAAACTATAGGAAGTGTTAGCTCTGTGAAAATATATGTATAAATTTTGTGCGTATAAACAAACTTATAATTAGAACTATTTAATATTTAGAATGTAATAGATTACTTTGATATCCACATGAAGAAGAAAAAATTGCAAGATACCTGACTGACCCCTTTAAGTGTAACACTGGTGTTGATCCTCTCTAGAGATGTGTTAAAAGTACACTTAGAGTAAAAAGAAACTAGTACTGTGTACTTCATTTGATAATTGACTATTATAAAAAGTACATAGAAGGGAGAAGCTATAGTAAGTGGGTCACCAATTACAACTTTTTTTTTTCAGTGATACTACATCAAAAAATTGACACATATCCCAGCCGTTCGTTCCAATTTCGTTCGTCGGGCCCTAGGAGCCGAGAAAAAAAATTTATATAATTTCAAACAAAATTTATGTTATTTATTTTTGCTCACAGTTTCAGGTTGTTAAATATCAATAGATTTCTTTTTTATTGTAGAATAGGAAAAAAATGTTGCCTATTGTAATAAATTAGTTATAATGTATCATCAATTACAAACATCAAAAGGCACTTTCAGTAAAGTAGACCAAGTCAATTTTTGTTAAGAAAAAACAAGCTGGATTTTGTTTTTACAACCCTTAAAAACTCTTAAATATGAATACTTATCTAAATAAAAAATACAACCTTTAGTACTTCATTTTCTTGGATGATTTTTTTCCTGGTCGTCAACTAACTCCTCAGGATTGTCTTCAAATTCAACTTTAATATAACACTAATTGGGAAGCTGAATTACTGTTGTTCAAAGTGACATCAATAACTGTTGGATTTCATTTATTTTTAAGCTAGAAATCAAGAAAAACTTCTAACTCATTTTTTATTTTATATCTATTTCTAATTTGTTTACGAATGTCAGGTTTATATAATTTTGTGTAGCATACAGAGGCCTAAATCCCTAATGGTTTTTGAGGTTATCGATACAATTTTAAAGGATCCAGCCCATGAAAAAATTTTAGTTTTTCAATTGCTATAAAAATTCATTTTTAAGGATGTTTTGCCAAAAACGAATATTAACTTTGTTTCTCCTTAAAAAAAAATTTACTCTAGACACCAGATTGGTTTTAAATAAATATTATATTTGGCAGATAGCCAATATAATATTTATATTTAATAATGTATTAGTTTTCAACTAGCAATAATCGTACCTCTGTAGACCTTCATTGGTTACGATATTGCCTCTGCGCAAGGATGTGGCAATATAAAATAGAAATGGGCCAGAACGTTTTCTTAATTTTGGTTTAAATAATAATTAACTCCAAAATTTATTTATGTGGGTTGGAAGAGCAGTAATCTTGCTTTCCTTTGGTTTTAACTTGCTTTTTCATAACAAAAATTTACTTGGCTTACTTATCTGGAAACACTTTTTGGTTTTTGTAATTTATGATAAATTATAATTTATTTAATACAATACTTAATATTTTTTTATTATCTGCACATAAATTAAAATTGATTGGTATTCATTGAGAATTATTTTACTTTAAATATTTTTCACAATAGTTTTACAAGATTAGAATATTTATATTTTCTTTGATATTGAAGTACATTGTACTATGAAGGGGATACTTTTGAAAAATAATATTGATGTTAAGGTTTATATAAACTTTTCTAATTTTAAGGATGAAAAAAATTGTCAGGATTTACAGTCGAAATTTCTTTAATGAGTTAGCCAGTGTTTTGACCCAAACATGTGGGTCATCATCAAGGCTAAAAATTAAAAAAATATAAAATAACATCAGAAAAATGATAAAAGTGTAAGAGTAGTAAGATTGAAGAATAACAGTAATAAGAATAAAGAATAAAATCACAAAAATTGTTGGTATTAAAGATACAGGATAAAAAAAAAGGCGAAATATTTAAATGAGATTACTGTTATACAAGCATAGCAATAATAAACACATTGAAATATGATAAAAAAATGATTTTGTCTTATAAATAAATGAAAAAGGTAAGTATATCAAAAGTAAGAATTAAAAAACAAATAATTAGTGTAAATAAAACAAGAATAAAATCAATTCACTAAATAAGAAGTATGCAAAAACAACGTATATAAATAAAAATTAACAAATAAGGCAAAAAAAAAAGTATAGAAACAAAGTTTAATAAATATAATTAGTTTCTTAACAGTTACCTATGGTTTGGAAGTTAAAACCAATGCTTTTCTAAATTTAGATTTCATCCTTTT